GAGGAAACGTGATCGTATGGTATCGTAGCCGGATTCACAAAGATCTTCAAATATGATAACCTTATGCGGTTCCAGGGCATAATAGATGAGTCTAAAAGAAAAAAATTTAAAAATAGTTTTCAATTTTCAAATATAAATATAATTTCATGGACTTACTCTGCAGACAGTTTGGTGGGTTCGCCACAATCTGCCAAAATCTTTTCAATTTTGGGCAATGTCTCGGCATACATATCGATTTCAGTTTCAAACAAATTCGATTCCATCAGCATTTCCCTCTTGAAACCCTCCTCCATGGGTAGGGTTTTAATAATCATTGATTTATGTTTAACACTGGCATTTTTATCGAAACGATATTGCACCTTGCAACGGAACATAATGCTGGCATAATGGTCACCTTTCATGCTGGCCGGACTCAAATCGAATTGCACCACCTGTTGAGAGAAATTTAGAAGAAAGCAATTAATTTAGACGTCCATCCCATACTTTGTGTTATTCACAAGGAAAATCTGATGGAAAGTGGCAGAAAGTTCGTTCTACTCCTCTTTTTTTTTCATAAATATCACTTTTTTTTCCTTCAGACGCTGCGTGTTTGTATTCAAAATCCAACCAACCTCAACATCCACATTATTTTCATATTGTGTCAGAACTTTTTCCAAAAATTCTTGATTTATCCATGACGGGGCTTCCAATTCATCGGCATTATAGAGACTCATTTTTTGTTGCGGGAACTAGTCTACTCTGTACAGTTTGAATGCTAAACTTTGAATTAAAATACTTTCCCCCTCTTTGAGGCCTTTTATGCGAAAATTTTGCAGCTACTAAACGCTTAGCTAGCCTTATTGTTGCTTTAAAATGATAGTTGATAAGAAATTGTCCAAAACGCCTTCGCCTTAAATGGAAATAGCAACGATAAGATAGCTAGAGAGCGGGTAATCGAGCCCAAACAAGGTATTATAACAGACTAACTCACCGAATTCACGAAAAGTTCTCAAAAAGTCTCCTTTTCCATCATTTATTTCCAATTTTGAAGCAATTGTTTTGTCCGGAGTCCAAACAACATTTGGAAATCAAATCTTTGTCATAGATCAGTGTCATCTTTGCTCTTTTTTGTTATTAACACATTGCCTTGTAGACATGCCCACCCAGCCGACGTCAATAATTGCACGTTCCCTCCAAGCAAAAAAACAAAAACAATTAGTCTTGGCAAATTATTAAATTTCATTGTTGATAATAATAATTTCCAACATTTGTTATTACTATTTTGAATTTTATCGGAACATCTGACGTAAAGTTGTACTGGTATTTCTTCTGCCAGCTGCCAATGAATTCTATATATGGCCACAAGTTACTGATAACAATTCTCAAGAAGGTGATTGCCGCTGTAAACTGTCGCAAATTAGTACAATGATTTTGCAGTTTTTTTATTTATAATAATATTTTGAATTGATTTGGTCGCATGCCAGCTCCAGTAAGCATTTTTAGCTCAATATTTCACAGCAACAATAAGATGTGATGCCAAATGATAAGAATTTTATTCTACTCAGGATTAAAATTCAAGAGAATAAAGATTCAAGATCAATATTTCAAGTTTGATCTACATCCTTTACAAGTTCAGAAAGAAACAAATAATGCCCTCCTCCATTTGGATGGAACTTAATAAACTTTAAAAAAAAATTCTTCGAAAAATACAGTTTAAATGAAAACCATTATATTTGGGGGGGGGGGGGGGGGGGGGTCTATACGAAGACAGGGACCTGCATAACTAAATTTTGAAAGTTCGAAACTAAGTCGCTAATATCGTCAAAATACCGAAAAGGCGATGTACCGTTATATGAGGGGTATACGAAGAGGTGTACAGACAATTTTCTGTTATAGGTTGAATTATCCATTTCGAACTTCAAATACGAAATTTGAAACAATTCCGGTGACTACCATCACTAAAATCTTGAAAATACCGAATATCGGGAGGTATCGTTCTATTGCGGCTATACGAAGATGTGGACCTGCATACGAATGTTTTGGACATAGGCTGGTAGTATCGATTACAAACTTTTAATCCGAAATTTGAAACAATTCCGGTCAATAATGGTTCCAATACCATAAAAATGTCGAATATTGTGAGGTACCGTTATTTGTGGAGTATACGAAGACGTGGGCCTGCATAGATATTTTCCCGTTATAAGTTAAAGTATCTATCAAGATCATCCAATACGATATTCCAAACAATTCCGGTCTATAATGTCGCTAAAATGATCAAAATACCTACTATTGAGAGGTACCGTTAAATGGGAGGCTATACGAAAACGTGGACCGACCTAACTCATTTACGAACATAACCTGCCTACGCGCAAAATACACATGTGTGCAAAATTTTAGCCTTCTGTCCCAATTCGTTCGATGGAGAGAGAGAGAGACGGACGTCGCTAAATCGATTTAGTATTTTACGCTGATCAAGAATGTATATACTTTGTTGGGTCTGACGAACCAGTTCGGCCAAGCAGAATAGTGCCCAATGAACACTACAACTGGTTATGACAAAAAAAATATTTTTAAATCAAAAAGGTTTAATACAGCCCAGCCGAATCTTTCTCTGTTAGATCTTCTATCGATATTGATCTCAGAGTACATGATCTAGAGAGGGAGAAGGAAGGACATACATGATCTAGAGAAGAGATAGCCTCTAGATCAAGAAACCTATGAGGTTGGTCTGAAAGACATTTCTATTGAATCAGTCACAGATGCCATCAATAATTCTGAATGCCGTCCTCGAAGTTCATACCCATTCATTGCAGCAGACATACCTAGTTTTTGAACAAATAACGTTCAGGTTGGAGCAGTCGTCTCAATTCGTATTGGGTTCGAATTGACGAAGATGTGCGAAACGTCTGTCCGGCCAGCACAATACGCTGCACCTCTTTAATTGCCCAGCCAAAATTACCCCCACTCACTCCAGAAGAACTTTGTTTACAGCCCGGATTATCAGGATACAAACAAGAGTTGCTGTAAAAACAATCGTTATATGGGCGTCATACCAAAAAGTGAACCTACATTGATAATGTTCTGCTACAGGGAAAGTCATCGATTTTCGAATCGAATTTCAAATATCAAATTTGAAACAATTCCATGAAAAATGTGGTTTAAATCGTAAAAATACCGCATATCCAAAGGTACCATTATATGAACGCTATAGCCAGACGAGGACCTATCTAGACAATATTCTGCCACTGAAACTAGAACCCACTTCGAAGTACAAACACCGACTTTCAAACAACTCCGTTAGAAAATGTGGCTCAAATCATCAAAATGCCCAATATTGGGAGATATGCCTAGAAAGGGCCTATAGAAATACGTCGATTTATATAAAAAATGTTCTGCTATCGAAGACAGAACTCATTACAAACTCTAAATAACAAATTTTAAACAATTCCTTTGAAAATTGTGCCTAAAATCCTTTAAACACCGAATTTTGGAAGTTTTATTTTTGTGGGACCTATGGGAAAACTTGGTCCTATATAGACAATGTTCTGGCATCGGAGCTAGAACACGTTACAAATTATAAATTTTAAACAAATCCAATAGAAAATATGGTTCCAAACGTCAAAATACCGAAAATCCGAATTTACCATTCCATGGAGGGCTATAGAATAATGTGGACGGATATAGCTAATTTTCAATGCGAACCATCCATCCACCAGTATGGATTCAAAGCTCTATTGTGTTTCAAAGCTCTACGTCAAATAATATGGGTTGTATCTTAAGTTCCACTGACAGACAGACGCATATCTTCATACCATTATACCCTGCACCACCTTTCCATGGTGGAGTTTATAAAAATAGGGTCGCATCGCTTAGACATTAGTAAGTTCCAAGACAGATGGATGTTTATTTTAATAGGATCGTTTACCAATCATTCCAGGCTTTACAGACGGTGGATAAACATGAACATGAATGAGGAGGTACCAGCTACGTGGATGAATCGGCTAAACATAGACCCAATTATTATCAAAAAAATTAAAAAAATCCCCTTTTTATATGAAAAAACATTTATAAAAATATTTTTATTTTTTACTCTTCGTAAAAAAAGAAAAGAAATACAGTGAAAGAATTCACTAATCTAAGTACATAAACATACAATTATTGTCAGATGTTATAAATGAAGAATTAAAAAAATGATTAAATTAAAAACATTGCTGATGATTAAAAAACAACACAAATTATGTATGTAAAAATATAAATAATATGATGAAAATGTATTTAACTTTTTTCGGCATTTCTAAAATCTCTTAATTGCATTTATTCTGCTTTTTCGATGAGCTTAAAACTTTCCGCAGCCTTCAGGCACTCCAGCGCCAGTTCTCTGGCTTTGGCACGACTTTCATCAGGTAACTGCGAAAGACCACTCAAAAGTTCCATAATATCTGTTTGCAATAGCTCCCGGGCAATATCTTCGCCGGCATTGATCATATTCAATATGAGAGCAACACCACGATGTTGTACGGCCGGACTGGGATTGGCGATGAGAACATGTAAAATTTCAAGCCAATTTTTTATGTCGAAGATCTTTTTAATACATTTCTTTGAACTTGAACTCAATATGGCCAGGGCACCGGAACATGCCTTAACTGTTTCCTCATCTTCCAGTTCACAAAGTAATGCCAAAAATTTCACACGATCATTGTCGCCTTCGAACTTTTTGATTGCCTCATCGGACATCACCATATTGCAGAGACACTGAGCCGCCGCTCGGGTAAGCAATTCATGATCTTCCATTAGATAGAATTCGATTTTCGTCAGACCTTGTTCCTCAAGTATGCGCAAGCGTACAGTTTCATTCATAGCTGCCAAATTTGTGAGGGCCATCAGGGCTTCAAAATTCTCCAATGCTGTGCATTCCTGTGGCAATAAATTCAATAGAGGTCGAATGACATCCAAACTTCTTTGTCCGGCAAAGGCTACTTCAGGATTGATGGTAATGCCAATACGTGCAAGAGCTTGAGAAGCATGACGTTTACCTTTGTCGGTACCCTCTAGAGCCAATTTGAGCAGACACTTAACGCCACCATCCTGAACAACTTTGCCACGCAATTCTTGCAGACTGCAAACGGCATTGAGCACGCGTGCAATCAGCTCACGTGAATTATTGCTTTCCGTTTTGGACAAAGCCACCAGGGCTGTGGTAATGCCTTCATTGGCCAAGACTGCAATACGTTTTTGTACAAAATCATGATCATCCAAATCATGTTCTTCGGGTATGTGAACCTTGGCAAATTTGGCCAATTCAATCATTTCCGGTAAGATTTCCTGTTTCTCATAGGCATTGCATAGATTCACAAAAGTCGTGACCACACCATACAAACACGACTGATCTCCGGTGCGGGCCAAATCAATAAGAGCATGAATTGCAGCCTTATCTTCAATCAATTTCTCCTTGACCTCAGCATCCAATGTCAAATAGGCCAAACCATCGGCAGCCCAACGGCGAATATCCTTATCTTTACCGGGTTTGATGAGGAAACGACGACAAGCTTCAGCCAACTTTAGATTGGCGCCATCAGCAAATGGACGAATGCCTGCATCTTCACCGCCATAACTACCAATTTTGCAAAGACCCACCAGGGCACGAACACGTATACCATCATCCTTGGAGTGATACAGCTTCTTCAGAATATCCACACCACCGGAACACAAGGCCTTTGCCTTATCCTTCTTAGAGGCAGCGGCATAGATACATTCACAGGCCACTTTTTGTTGTAAAACATCATCGGTGGTGGCCATGGCCAGAATCATTTGTAGAATGCCTTCTCTGCCAATAATTTGATTACCCACATCCAAAGGTCCCAACAACAGGGAAGTAATGGCAACTGTTACTCTAACCTTGGACTCTAGATCAGGATCCAATAGCTTGTCTTTAATGTACTCATCAATTTGCTCCATAAAACGGCCACGGGCTATATCGTGATACATATTCTCGTAGATGCGAGCCAAACAGACTGATGCAATAGTACGCGAAGAGGGTGTAATGTCCATGGCACTTTCATATTTATATTCCTCCAACTCGGAGCATACATCCAACAAACGGAAAAGACCTCTGAGTTCTACCAAACGTTCAGCCCATTCCAGAGCTGTGTAGTGGACATTACGTGTCAGTAATTCAATAACAGCATCACGTGCAGGTCCCGAAATAGTACGATCTGTAACACTATACAACAGGCATGACAACATGGTATCGATTTCCTTTTGATTCTCCTTAACTAATTCCTTGTTGGGTTTGCTATCCGGTTTGATGTCCATGCCAGAGAGGGCATTGAGAATTGTCTGTAAACAATATTGAGCAGCTGAAACACGTTCTTCGTGCTTGTGATCGAGCACCCGCATGAACCATGGTACACCCAGTTCGGTTAGAACACCCTTGGTGCGGTCCACTGAATTTGCACACAATTCGGCTACCACACGTACAAAATTGACATAAATATCGGCGTCTTTTTCCACCTTTGTAATTGATGCAATTTTCGGAATACATCCAGCCTTGTATAGCATATCAGCACCAACTTCATCTTTGGCTAAAACTAAGAGATTGTTCACCGCCGAACGCCGTTTATCAATGGGTGTTGCCATTTCAAAGGCTAATTCCATCATTTGTTGTACTTTGTTGGAAGTCTTGGCATTTTCGGCTGCTTTTTCCTGGACAATCAAATGCAAGCGTTTCAGCATTGGTTGCACAGACTGATTGCCGGGATCTGACTTAAACAAATCTGTGGCATCTTTATAGGCTTCGGGATACTTCTTTAAACTTTCATAGGCTTGAGCACGTCTGAATAAGGCTTTCGGATCTTTTGGTGCCAATTTCAATGATTCATTACAATCAGCCAAGGCCTCCTCCCATTTGGACTCCTTCAAATAGGCCTGAGCCCGATTCTTATAGAATATTGGCAACTCCTTATGTTTTTCACCCTTCTTTATGGCCTGTGTGTACAATTTGATGGCTTCATCGTATTTGCCATCTTTAAAGGCCTGATTACCTTTATCTTTATAGGTTAGAGCCTCCGCCCCTTGCTGTTGGTCATCTGTTGCATTCGAACTTGTCATTACGTTAAATATTCAATGGTTTCACCTTCCGTTTAATTCTACAAGAACAAAAATATTGAAAATATCTCAATTTTGTTAATATTTATTATCTTTATGAGTCACGTATCTCGTAGTTATTACCAAATGTGTTGGCTGCAATTGTACCTTTTATAGATTTTCCCCACTCTTCACAGAAAACAAATTTTCTTTTGACCCGAATTTTCTCGATCACCCACGATCTTTTCAGAACAATTGAATTGCATGTGAGAGAATCGAAGAAATCGTCGCCGAAGGAATTTTCAAAATTCTATTTTTAAACAACAGATGTGAAAAACTTTTACGAGTTTGTTTTGATCGCTTTCTTCTCAATGCTTTCACCCGGCATTTGACAGATTGTGTTGTAGTAGTTCTTTTTTGTGGCAGGGTTGCCAATGTGCTGTCGAGTTTGAGGGGTAATAAATTGCAATTGGAATTAGCTATTTAAGATAGGAGAAAATTGTAAGATATTAATGAGGAAATCTTGCTGATGTTTTGATTTTGTTTTCAGTATTTAATTAAGTTTCTTAATTTATATCGAGTTATACAAAAATAATTAAATTTAATATTAGAGCAATACCCCTTACTCCTCCCTCCTACAAACAGAGACTTGTCACAAATAAACTGGCCTAAAGCAAAGTTGACTAGTAGCAATGAGAGAGAGATCTAAGAGCAATGGAAATAAGAAAAAAATTCTCGTACAGGCAATTTTTTTTGGCAATTCCTTTTGTGTTTTCTATTTTATACGAAAATATAAATAACAATTACGGAAAAAATAATGGTGATATACGGTAAATTGTTGAAAACCAAAAGCCTTGTATTAACGTAATTACATGTTCAGATACAATATTTTTTCGGATTAATCCATATTATCAGGATTTATTGCATGATCTAGACATGGTAGAAGAATATAGGTAGATGCATCAACGCTTGAGAACATTGATATGTCAATATTTTTTAAATGTTTTATCAAAAATAAGTAGATTTTTAAATGTTTTTTATACGGCGCCAATAGGAGGTTGTTAGATTATGCATTTTTCAACAATTTTTACAAATTTCAATACATTTTCATTCAACATTTTCAATTTCAAAATCAGTTTGGCAGTTCATTGTCCCAGCAGTCAAAACAGATTTTTCATTTATGATTTTTGAAGTCTCTGAAACAACGCAAAGCTAGTGTGGTCTCTCTGTTAAGGCATTCTTTTAATGGCGCCAATAACATCCCTTTCATTTTTTAATTATACTATTTGTTTTACTTTTATTATAAATGCATTAATTATCAAGCTTTTGCAATACCCTATATGATCTAATTTTTAATTTTACCATTTGTTTTTTCACAAATGCAAGAATTCTCAAGCTTTTGCATTTAAGCTTTGCCTTAATTTTGTGGTTTTAAGCCAGTTTTATGTGGCGTTTCCACTGCACTTGATTCGCTCTCTATTCGTTGTTTGACCCTTAACTATGAAAAAACTACCTAATTCTTCACACAAAATTTCCTGAGCGAACACTCATATTTGTACGTTGTTCAAATCAAATCACTCTCAGAACAACGAAAAATATGTCCCAGTACTAACAAATGAGAGCATTTATCGAAAAAATAAATTATGACATTTAAAAATTATAAATAGAAAAATTTAATGAAATTTTAAAAATTTTTGGGAAGACTGAAAATTATGAATGAAAACTACAATGTTGAATGGCGTATGTACATTCAAACGAAAGTAAATTTTGTTTTCTCTCTCATTCGAGGTACGCATTTGGTCCACGAGTTAAAATTTCTACAGAAAACTGCAAACAAAATAGTCAATATTTTCAAAATGTTTCTATCGGCAGAAAAAATATTTGACAAGTGTCTCTTCAGCAGAATTTAAAAATGGAAAAACACAAAAATATGTTCAAAATGTCAACATTTACACAAAAAGTTGAAAACGTGAATGAAAATTGTAAAATTAATGATATAATAAATCTTTGGGAGAAAAACAAACATTTCTTATATTCATATTAGTGAGAATTTCATGTATTTTCGTATAAATTCCCTTAAAAATCAACAAACAATTTTTTTTAAAAAAGGAATTATTTTACTATGAATTACGAATCGTGCCGTATGAACGGGTTAATTCGTGTACCTAATTCTGAGAGCGAACAACGTTGTTCGGTTTCCAATGGAAACATGCTATTAGGTATTTACTCGCTTTAGAATGATTCTCTCTTTTTGTAAACAATTAACCGGTTACTCTTTCAAGTTAACTTTCAACTTGGCAACTCTTATTTGGAGTGTCATCAAAACGTCAATTTAATTGATTCTCACATATATATTTTTGTATTTTACCTTTGATTAACCTGATTTTGGAAAAACTTAAGGAAAATGTTAATTTTTTAAATAAAATACTAATTAAGAAAAGGTCTCCTGAGGCCACTGAGAAGCATTAGCTATCAACAAACCATACAAACTATTTAAGTAGTTGCCTGCAAAAAACAAGACGTTCTGACATCCATCCAGCCAGCCAGAGACAACAAAACACGACGGACAAACACGGGTAAGAGAGAATGAATGTAAACACCACGTATGCAAAGATTAACCGTAATCCAAGAATATGTTTCCGATAATTGTTTAACCGTCGTTTGTTAATTGCAGATAATTTAAAAAGCCATGACCATGCTTCCCCTGACACATAGAGATCGCGGTAATTTCGCCTACCGCATCAAGGAGACACTCAAAAGCTGGAAGCGTTTAATATTCTCAGATAAAATTCCCGGAATTTATTTCTTTTTCTTATGTTAAATTTAAGTTTTGCATTTGTTGAGCTGTTCTACGGAATTTTGACCAATAGTTTGGGTAAGTAGTTGGGTTAAGATAAGATAACCACAATCGTATCTGTTTACGCTAATGATTTGTCAAAGATTGTGTACAGATAAGCTAATATATTGTGCTTTGATTTTTATAGGTCTCATATCGGATTCGTTTCACATGTTCTTTGACTGTACGGGCTTGTTGGCGGGTCTGGCAGCATCAGTGATCACCAAATGGAGGGCTAATGAACGTTTCTCCTATGGCTATGTGAGGGCAGAAGTCTTGGCTGGTTTTGTTAATAGCCTGTTTCTGATATTTGTAGCATTCTTTATATTGTCCGAGGGCGTAGAACGTCTCATAGAACCACCAGAAGTCAAGCATGAACGACTTTTTGTGGTATCTGTGTTGGGCTTGTTAGTGAATCTAGTTGGTATTTATGCCTTTAATCATGGTGGTGGCCATGGACATTCACATGGTGGTGGCGGTCACGGTCATTCACATGGTGGTCATGGACACTCGCATGGTAGCAGCAGTCCATTAATTGATGCCAATGGGCATCAGGCTATTTCTATGGATGATGGTAAGAATGAATTGAATAATTTACGGGAAAGTTTGTTTTGAAAAGTCTGATAACGTTTTTTGATTTGGTTTATTTTGCTAATCTTGTAAATTGTTTTCTTTTACAGGACACGGCCACTCACATTCCCATGGTCATTCACATGGCGATGATCTATCCGGAGGTGGCAGTAATTCACAAATTATGCGCGGTGTCTTCCTACACATTTTGGCCGATACACTCGGCTCAGTTGGTGTTATTATATCGGCAGTATTAATGCATTTATTCGGCTGGATGATTGCCGATCCAATTTGTTCAATCTTCATCTCAGTACTCATTGTATTGTCGGTAATGAGTCTGATCAAGGAATCAATATATGTACTAATGCAACGCCAGCCGGTTGCTTTAGATCGTTTACTACCTCAGTGCTACCAAAAGGTTACCGGTTTGGCTGGTGTGTATGCAGTGCAAGAACCTCACTTTTGGACGTTATGCTCCGATACCTATGTAGGAGCAATCAAATTAGAAGTATCAAGAAATATCGATCCCAAATATGTTGTTACACATGCTCGCATGATTTTCGAGTCGATAGGTGTTAAACAGGTCTACATACAACTAGACTACGTGTGATAATTCTCTATAGATTTTGTACATAAGCCCTTATGATTTGATTTAGAATATACCAATTTACAATATTGAAAGTTCTTCTTGTTGTCTTGTCCCTCCTTTCACCTTGTCACCACCTGCTCCTATGTCCAAACTACAAAACAAAATTAGTTTTTAATAAAAACTATCTATAAGAGTATAGAAAATACTTGCGTTGAAACTTGACTCACAAGATTTCCAATAAGCCGTCTAGCAATATTTAAATTTGTCCTTTTTTATTAAGTTAAACGTTTTTTGTATTAAGTTTTCCTAAAGCCAATTATATATTTAATTTTTCTTGTTTTTATTTAACAAAACTTTTTCTACACTAAACTGCATTCCATACACACATACATTTCTCAAATAAAACTGTAACAAAAGCTCTATATATAAATAAGTAACACCCATCTGTAATCGTCTACCACACCTACCAGCATGTGCTAAATTAGAACAAATTTCAGAAAACAATGATCTTAATGAAGAGAAATAGTAATCATTATCATGGACTGTCTTATTTTATAACAACAAACATATTTAAAGAAAACAAAACAAAAAACATGCATTGTTTTACAAATATAGAGTTACAAAAACAAAAAGTTCAACGAACAGTTGCCGAAATATGTACATCGCTACTATATATTAAATACATATTGTAAAAACAAAACAAATGGAAATGAACGAAAACTGTAAATATATGAGAGTACTTTTTTATGTTATTTTGTGGTTTTTATTGCAATTTTAAGTATGATGCTTTTGAGCAGTCGAAGGGCGCATTTATGGAATGCAATTAAATTCAGTATAGACTTACACCATCTGTTTTCAGATTAATGCCGCATATTCCACCCATGTCTAATTGGACATATTCCCTTGTTGAAATCCAGATTTCTTCTGATTTCCAGTATTTCAAATTTTCACACAAATCAGCAGCAATTTGATAATAATGCAGGACAATACTTCGTGATTATCGGTATCTTGCAACCAAATCAGGTATCAGTCCTGGATCTGAGTGGGCACTAAACTCATCGTAAAAATATTCGATATAATGATAGCTCTTCATTTTCAGTATTTTGAGGGTAATTGACCAAATTTTCACAAAATTCAGCTGGGATTTTACACACCGCATTCTTAGTGGGTAGGAGAAGAACTTTTGAAAAAAATATTTCTTACTAGAAAGCGAAAAGCCAACCTTAAAATTTTGCATTCGTTCGTTAGGCCTTTTTAGGACTCAAAAGGCACAATTTGTTCGGCTTGAGAAATTTTTTTAATCAAAAATTCATGCCTCGCACCGTGGTTCAATAAGAAAGGTTGCTCAACTTCAAAGAAATTAGAAAAATACAACTCTGTGCTAGAGCCTTTTAAATTCAAATAGACTTTTAAATATGCAACAGTTGGTTTTGTTTACTTTTATTTTTTTTAAACAAAATTCTTATATTGGGACAATCGCGACAAAAGAATGCAATTTTGGGGTTATTCCACAAGATTGAATCTAAAATTGTAGGACAATACAGTTTTATCCTAAAATTGTGTGTTGTCCATTAACGTCGAAAACATGCATTTATTTTTCAACCGAATTTGAAATAATTTCAAATTGTTGTATTTTTTATTCAATACAATACACACACATACACAAAATGTATATATGTTTTGATAGAATAAGGACACCAAAAAAAATGTATTTAAGAGGTAGCTTTTGGTCTGTTTCAGAACTGCAAGAATGTAAAAGTTTTCACTACGATAACCGATTTTCCCTTTGTAATATCGGAGAAAATTGCAAAACTAGTAGATCCTTGCAGGTTCTAGAACGGACCATATGATCTACCTTCTGTAATTATGCCATGCCTCGTACTAAATGTTCAGACTTTCAAGGATTTATATATTATTCATATATATTAATATATTTCTTTCTTAGGACAAAAATTTTACACCAAGAAGACTTTAAAATCTTTCATTTTGGAGATAACAGATACTCGCTTAACTACAGATACCAATATCAAATTTCAGAATTTCATCTCTATCCCTTCACCCAATACCAAATTTAGTAACATTTGGTTTTATTCATACAAATATGGGAAACATTTCTAAACAGCCAAATCTCAAACACAGATTCCATTTGTAATATAAATATGAAATTTCAGAATTATATTTATATCCCTACACACAATTCCAAACATAGTACCGTTGAATACTTTTCGCATAATTTCCTAAACCACGTCCATATGTCCTGTCTACAAATGAACAGCGACCGTAATACCAAACTTCCAAATTCAAGCACTATCTGTTCACCCAATACCAAATTGTACCAAATATAGTACTATTTAGTTCTTTTTGTGCATTTCATAACCACTTCTTTATCACAAACCTACCAACAACAGGGACCCCAATGCAAATTCCACCTTCATCCGTTTATCATAAACCAGCCTGTTCCATATTTTTAGTACAGTTCGCACACTAAGTACACATTTCCAAAACCATTTTCTTATAGAAAACTTTCTTTCCAACCTTGGTTCTCATTCCATTTCAAGTTTTTAACTTTATCCGTAACCTTAAAGTTCGAATTTCCATAACCCTTTCCGTTTGTCCAAAAGGAAGTATTCATTTTTTAGTACTTTTCGTACCCTTTTAGTACGAGTTTTTAAAAACCCGCCCGTATTATGTGCCTACGCACCATGAGTTTCAAGATTCCAGCTTTAGCCGTCTCGGCGTTGCCTCTCAGTCAGAAAGTTATTTCATGTATGGATTATCTTTTCCTGGTCCTGGTGATTTAAGATCTAACAACTATATTCGCTATCTAAAGTTTCCAAATTTGGTAGCAACGCGATATGTAATATCAGCCCAAATTACATAGATTTTTCCATTTGGTGGAACTCGGCCCAGTATATGTATTGCTCCACTAAATATTTTTTAATATAATCAAACACTATACAGCAACATTATTTGGGACTAGAGATACAAAAGCCACCGTCAAATTTGTTGAAAATCGATTCAGAGCTGGATATAGTTTCCAAATTGTGACTACTCAAAAACCATGCTACGTATTCAGATGAGGTTTATATTTGATCACACAACTTCACAATACGAAATTTTTTCTTACGGTGCTCTACTAAATACTCATAGTGGTGTAGGGTATCAAATAGTTGGCCCAGCCCAACTTTTGTCCTTTTCTTACTGTTTTTTTATTTTATATTGAGAACTTCTATAATAAGGCCGGGACAAAAAATTGATTATTTATATCGGTTTAGTAGATCCGGATCCTGAACCCAAACTTTCGGGTCGAATATCAGAGTACCTGGCTTCGTTCCAAGATCAAAATACCTTCCCGGATGCAGGGTACATTATTGAAAAAATCCGAGATTTGTTTACTAAACTAGGGATAAGTGTTGTTTCGAAATTGAAATTGCTTTACTGAGGCAAGCCATTAGGGACGTTTTTCGAAACACTTTACATCCTTTATTTTCACCAAATTTGTGCTAAAGAGCCCATTCCATTTGAATATTCCTAACTACTAATCCATCCTTACTATCCAAGACATTCTTTTTGACTTCACCATTTAAATTAAAACTGATCAAGGTCATATTTGTCCAAAACAGATTTTAAAACTAAAAAAGTACACATCAACAAGTAGTGGCGATAACGATTCTCACAAGTATAAATAATTAGTAATAATCCCCTATAATTTTTTCCATACATGGATCAAAGAAACAACAACAATTTTACTAAACCTCATCACACCGTGGCAATTCTTCTTTATCGCTAAGCGCACACACGTTTTGTGTGTGTCCTCCATCAAACAGCAGACAACAGGTAATCATGATTGTGTGTTGTTTACTCAAACGAGCACAACATTTTTGCAAACACAACAACCCACCTTAATGTCTCAACGAATTTTTGAGGTTATGTTGTTGTCGTTTTGTGCGAAAATAAAGATTGCAAAAGGAAAGTGCAAAATGCCTCTAGAAAATGCATATGAATGCACGAAAAAATAGGTTATCTGATTCGCCTTAACCTAAATCTTTTTTAGAATACACAACAACACGTTTTGGGTGGAAGGTAAAAGTTCAGCAAATCATTCGACATGTCGCGAAAAGCCACATCCCACCACATTGTCTTCGGCGTCAATACACTCACACAAACATACTACCACAAAAGAAAAATGACTCATCGAAAATTAATTGTTTTTTTTTTTTCTTCTTTATTTTTGCAAATGCGATGTTCTTTCAATATTTTCCTTCAATTACAATTTGTTTGCCAATTCGAACTCAAATTTACAGCAGTCCATGCTTCCAAGCCACCACAAAAGAATATGGAAGTTGAGTGGGTCATGGTAGACATGGCCTCACAAGCCTACAATATGTCTGTTGTCCCCAACCATAAGATATGAAGGTTTTTGGTTCGTTTCTTTTTTTCTCATATTGTTACTTGTTTTAAATACATAATTTTATTATAGTTTTTTTTTTATCTTAGATATTTTTTCTTTTGTTTTACATGTAAATTGAGTCTTATATCTTTTTCTTTCTTCTTCTTTTGTTTAAACAAATTTCATAAATCAAATCAAAATGTTACATTAGCAAACAAACAATTTGTATCCAAAGAAAACATGGTCGTCCGGTTGGTTGGCGTACTTAAATTAATTTATATATAAAATTGAAACTATAATTTAATGCGACTGTATAAAAAAGAGATGTGATAGGCTGGCTGAATTTAGTTGTTGAATTTCTTTTTAGCACTTCTCTTCTTCCAAACCGTGTTTGAAGAACATCAATACGGGCACGCTTTCGCCGTCAATGTCACGGTATTCGCACAAGGCGACCATACCATCACAGTCCATGGATTCACCGGTGAAGAACTGCAAATCCTTGAAACGGCCCAAAATGTCTTTCATGACTTTGTTCATGTTGGTCTTGAAGACATCGACTTGGTCGGGGGATTTCTCTTCCAACTTAGCCAAGACCTTCTTCATGTAGTCCTTCAAGTAGATGGTGTAACTTTTCTTGTCGCCGAAGGCAAAGCATTCTTGCAAGCGGTGATTCATGACAACATCGACACCAGTCTCAACGTTGGTATCGGTACCTTCGTCAGCTTCTTCGGCCGATGGATTGAAGCCCTCAATTTTGATATCGCCCTCGGAGCGGGAGACGACTTTGCCGTACACCTCATACATTACATCGTCGATCAACTTCATTTTGTAGGTGTCAGCGAACATTTCGTCACCGGTGATGATGTCCTTGTAGATTCTCATGTTGAGGTGTTTGGTTTTTTTGTTTCAGTAGAAAGGTAGAAAAATAAAAATTCGTTTACGGGTCGCACACCGAGAGGACAAAAATTTGGGAATAATCCGGACCGACGTTTGCCACGCGCTCAATTCAACAGCGAAAAGAAAGAAAAATGCTTCCACATGCTTGAATAGCCTCGAATGCTTGAAAAAATGGCGTCAGTGTTGCCAATCACATATGAAAAAAGGTAGTAGAAAGAGCGACAACATTTGTCAATATCAAGAGAAGTAGCAACAGGAAGTTGATAATTTGTTGTTCGGCATGAAATGGGGATACAATAAAGTGTTTCCCAACAATCCATTTGAGTGTTCAATTGATACTTTACTCAATATATTTTATCAAATAATATTGCGTAGTACAACTGTGAAATGAATTGCCAATCACATGAAATCTCCACAATTATCTATCAAGCATATTTGTAATAGATTAACGGATAAATAGTGTTGTCCATACAATCAGTTAAATTGTGCGAAAAAATAGACTGTTTAAAAAATAAATAATGTGTTCAGGTACTTATTTAATTTTTCAACAAGACAATATTATTCTTAGAATTTTTTTACACAGAAATTGAAGACAATGTAAGCTTAAACATTTAAATTGCTATACATTAATGTTTTAAAAAATCTACAATTTTCCAGGAAGTAGTCTCATATCTGTTGAGGTGAGAATACATAAAACGTTTTTTTTCACTGGATTGAGTCATCGGCCAGCTTCTGTGTAAAAGGACAAAGGACCATAGTGTGAACAAGTATAAATTATGGACCGAAATGGATCAAAATCAACCTAAAATTTCTTTGCTCTTTACAAAAACCCAGCCGATAACTTAAGCCGATCTGAAATGCGTTTTATATATTCTCACCATAAATTTTTTTAAAAACTTGATCCAAATTTTTTTGAAATAGTACGAAAATATAAAGAATATAAAACCAATCACCATATCAAAAAGTAACTGTCACTATGGTCACCTTCCACATTTTAATTTTTATTAAAAGTAAACAAATCGTTCAATTTTTTTTATTATTTTTAACCACACCATTTAAAAATCAGTCTTTTGTAACGCCTTTAACATACACCACGTCGTTCACTACTTACATAGCAATAACGCTACAATATTGTAGTAGATTACCATAAGAACAATTCTCCAATAAGTGACTACACATTTGACACATAACACAGCAAAAAGAAGAAGAGACAGTCTTCAGGTATTTTTCTATCGTAAATATTTTCTGTTGAGCCGAAAAATGTAAGTTTTTTTATATAATTCAAAAGAGATAAATTCAGTTAATGCACTTACTTCTAGGTTTGCTATCACACGTTCCTTGGTTCGTTCCCCAGCCCTTCGCCAGGGCCTTCAAATGGCCCAGGCCCAAAACCTGAGAGATGTTTCGATGAAAGTTGTACCTGCTGCCTCAACAGTGAAAAATGAGACTTTCTTCGACAAAAATAATCGCTTGCAACGCGAGATGTCTCCCCATTTGACAATTTACAAGCCCCAGTTGACCTCCATGTTGTCAATTACCCATCGTGGTACTGGCATTGCCCTCACAGCCGGTGTCTGGGCTTTGGGTTTGGCTGCTCTCACCTCACCCCAAGACATTGCCAACTATGCTTCTGTGATCGAAGGCTTGCACCTGAGCGCTGGCACATTGACTGCCTTGAAGTTCATGATTGCCTATCCCTTGGCCTTCCACACTGCTAACGGTGTGCGCCATTTGTTGTGGGACACTGGTCGTTTCTTGAAAATCAAAGAAGTCTATTCCACTGGTTATGCAATGGTTGGTGTTTCGTTTGCTTTGGCTGCCATTTTGGCCATGCTATAAGCAGGAAAATAAATTTAGAACAGATTTAGAACATGCAATGTGGCATCTTAAAACGAGTAATAAATGTTAAGTTATAAAGCTTTTTCCTATTTAAAAGAAAGAAAAGGAAGTTTTGTTTTTATTTTCATTGTGAACTGTGAGTGGTTCTTCTTTTGATTATGCAATCACTGATATGTGATCAAATTAAATTGTTGTTGCGAATTTTTTGTTTACAGTCGCAATGTTTGTAGATATAATCGTTGGCATTTTCTTGCTTTGTTAGGGAATGTAGTTTGGTTTGCATTTAGACATAAGGTAATTGTTTCTTAGTTAGGTATGTCCCGGCTTAATATTTAAACTCAAAATGGAATTTTTATGACTTAATGCATGATACAACAATGACTAAATGTGGAAATGAATTGGTATTAGCTTCGATGATGTTGTCAGCCAAATCGATGTGAAATTTCGTTGTGGAAAATTGTTTATTCTATTGAAATTAACATTGCGTTGTGGGGGTTCTTTAAAATTAGCGTTTTTATTCCCTACGCCACATAGTGGTAAGGGTTATATGTCTTTGTGCATTTGTTTGGAACAGGGAGAAGGAAGCCAGATAGGCCCATAGTTACTTCTGGGGATATTCATAGAATCACTTTCCGAGTCGATTTATGCATGTCAGTCAGTCCGTCCGTCCGTCCATGTATTCTCGTGAAAAAAAAGGTCGCATTTATTATCCGATTGAGATGAATTTTTGCAAACAATATTTGTTTGGACCAAGGACGAAACCTATTAATATTGGTGATAATCGGATCAGATTTAGATATAGCTCCCATAGAACAGTGTGGCTAGTTTTTAGAAAAATGGTCAGGCTTTATCCCTTTATTGCTGTTTTTATAAAAACAAAGTTTGTTTATTAGTGGAGAACGATGTTTTATTAAAAAAAAAAAACAATAAAGGGATAAAACCTGACCATTTTACAACAACAAAGTACTACGGTATCCCGAACAAACAAGCCACACTGTTCTATTAATAGATTTTTTTGTAATAGACAAAACCAACTTACATGGTTATGCTACTTCGTTCAGCTTGAACGGTTGTAAAATTTAGAAGACTTCCCAAATGAATTTTAGTTTTATTTAATGCTTTGGTTCCTCTTCTATTGAGCTTATGATCTCGTCACTTGGGTAAAAAATGTTTTTTTTGTCATAGAAGTTATTTTTAAAATAACTTCTGGGGAGAATATCCCAGACAAAAACCAAGGGAACTGATGAGGATTGGTGGCTCTTTCCGAAACCTAGGTATTCCCTGCCTTACCCCCTGGTAAACATTACCATCGTTCTCCACTAATAAACAAACGTTGTTTTTTTTATAAAAACAACAATAAAGGGATTAAGCCTGACCATTTTGCAACAACAAAATAGCTCCCATATATATTTAACCGATTTCGTGTTAATTGTGCATCAAATGGCCAATATAAGTCCAAATGACCTGAATTTTCCCACACCAACCGAATTCAATCTAGAAGCAAGTACATTAAATTTTTGTTCAGATATGGCCATAGCTCCCATATATATGTTTCATCCGATTTGGGGTTTTAATACCTCTGCCAAATTTTATCAAGATCGGCTCAGATTTGGATATAGCTCCCATATATATATATATATTCAACCGATTTCGGGTTAAGTAATCTGGCAACACTATGCCTGAGTAGTCGTGTTTTTTTTCATTGCAGCTGATCATTCGCTAAATTATCTTTTTTTATTCGCACTGATCGTTGTTATATATTTCGCTGCACTAAATTCTTGCAATTTATTAATAGTCCGACACAAATTACCTGGAGTTCGTATGATAAATCATTTAATCATCATTAAATCATCATCATTTTCATCAAGCGGTTTCTTATTGTGGCGTTCTTACGTAACAATTTTGCTGGTTGCTTATTTCGTTGTTCTTGATTGCTTTTGTTGCTGCTATTTCTTGTTGCTGTGCTGCCGTTTGCTGCGCTGTTACGTGTTTAAGGAAGAAAAAATGACGAAGTGTGGTGCTTGTGATGAGACTATTACAAAAACTCAGGGGAGTATATTGTGTGGAGTCTGTAACAAATGGCTACATGCCCCCTGTGCCAAGATTAGTGATAAAAACTTATTAGCGTTGCGTGCTATGAAATATACGCATTTCATTTGTGCTAAATGTAATGGAAACACCCGCACCAATCACAATAGTGACAGCATTGCTGATGAAATTCGCAATTTAAATGCCAAATTTGATGGGTTTATATTGAATAACCAATCAGAACAAAATTCTATAAAGACAGCACTTGATGATATAAAAAATGAAATGTCTTCGTGTTTCACTGAAATTAGGAGTGACATAAAAACTTGCAACGATCGTATTAATCATGTGGAATCTAATGCATCATCAAAACTATCTGATCTGCAAGCTGAGATCAATTTGTTGCATCGGAGACTGAACAGAGCTGACATGTTAATTGGTGGATTGCCAGCGGGAATCGAAGATCTTCTTGCCCCTGTTCTATCCTTGGGCACATTTTTCAACGTACCAATCTCTAGCAGTGACATTAGCCACGTATCTTACATAAGCAAGAAGGCACAGATTCTGGTCAAATTTAATAATGTGCATGCCCGTGACTGTATAATGAAGGAATACTTCAAAACTAGATCACTTAAGGCGTGTGATATAATGGATGGAGCCTGTAGGGATTTAACTAATCGTGTGTATCTTAACGAGCATTACTCGCCAGGTGCAGCTTACCTCAACTCAATTTGTAGAAAACTTCAAAAACAAAATATTATTACAAAATTTAAAATTTTGAACTCACATGAGCTGAAAGCCAAACTAATGTTTCCGGACGGCAAAGTATTGTTTGCTGACGTCAAGAATGCTGCCTCGCTTTTGAATGAATCCCCAGATGTTTCCACTTAAGCAGTATTTGACACTTTAACATTTTTTTAATACTTGCATTTCAATAACTAGTTTCCTAATATTGTGTAGTAGATCTCATTTCTTAGAATTTTATGATCAGCTGTATGAGTATGTTAAGTTTGAATTCGTTTTAAATGCATTTATATTGTATAGTATTAGTTTTTTATTTCGATTCTTGGTTCCCCCCCCACAAACTGTTTTTTGATTTATTATGCCCTTACGTGATAATCTAGGTCCAGTCGTGAATAATAACTCATACATAAAGGATGTACTTTGCCCATTTGACCGCAGTTTCAAGTTAGCTCATCTAAACTGCCGAAGTCTTAAACCTTTGTCAAAGATTGAAGAGTTGAGGCAAATCTTAAGAGATGGCATATTTCATATTTTTGCAGTCTCAGAAACATGGCTGTCGGCTGAAATATGTAGTAAAGCTGTTTCCTTGCCTGGATATAAGTTCTGTCGGAATGACCGACATCGTCCTGTCAGAGGTGGGGGTGTAGGGATATTTATACGTAGCGGAATTTCTTATAAAGTTGTGTTGAAAGTTTCAGAGTTAGGATGTGAGTCGTTATTTGTCGTAGTGCATTTTAACACTATTCAAATATTGTTTGGTGTTGTCTATTTGCCCAATGGAAATTTAGTTGAATTTGAATGCCACCATAGAGACCTATTTTCTAAATACTCCAAAGTTTTCATTTTAGGGGATTTTAACATCAATCTCTTTGACGCATCCAGAGCCAATGCTTTTCGTTCTATCTGTGCCCAGTATAATATATCTATCGTACATAATTCCATGCCCACACATTTTAACTTAGGTAGAAGGTCAACCTCACTTATTGATTATATGCTTACGAGTGATAGTTCATGTGTGAGATATTTTGATCAGGTTCAATGTCCGTCTGTGTCTGACCATGCTCTTATTTTTGCATCTATAGATTTCGATGTCCATTATCTGCCCGATTTTATAGAGTTTCGTGATTATAACAATATTAATTGGATTAGGTTATTTAGCTTTCTTGAGTCCTTTGATAATAATGCAATGTCTAATTCAATCGATGCAAATGAAAAATGTTCTTATTTAGGTGGTTTGCTTGCTGATCTTTTTTCTTGTGTACCAACTGTTAGAAAGAAGGTACAGTTTTCTCCAGATCGTTGGTTTATGGCAAGGGACGTTACTTTTGCAAGATCTGTAAGGGATCTAGCATATACTGCTTTCCAGAGAAATAAGTCTCAGGAAAATTGGGTAAAGTATTGTAGGTATCGTAACAAAGCAAGGACAGTTATTCGTAGGAATAAAAGGAGATATTTTTCAAAGCTTTTTGGTAATATGACTTCGTCTGAAATTTGGAAAGTGCTCAGGAATTCGGGATGTGTGCAACATGATAGCGCAGAATTTGATATTGATGTCAATGATATAAATACTTTTTTCGCACAGGCCAATTCTACGTCGGATGATAATTTTGATATAACTCAATTTAATGACACTACTTCGTTTTCCTTTAGATGTGTTTCTGTGGTTGAGATTTTTGAGGCGGTTAATAAAATTAAGTCGAATGCGGTTGGTATTGATGGAATACCAATCCGCTTTATAAAACTTGTCATTCCTTACATATGTGACTATATTTTGGATTTGGTCAATTTCATCTTGACTTGCTCCTCTTACCCATTAGCTTGGAAAAATGCCCGAGTAGTTCCTATACCAAAAGCTAAAAATGTATATAGTCCAGATGACCTACGTCCAATATCAATCCTACCAGCAATTTCAAAAATTATGGAAATGATCTTGAAGAATCAAATTTTGGAATACACTTCAAATATGATATCTGACACACAGTTTGCATTCCGGCAAAGGCACAACACCACACACTTACTTTTAAAAGCCACTGATTTCATCCGCCATAATATTAATGATCGAAAATTAAGTGTCCTTTTATCTCTTGATCTGTCAAAAGCGTTCAATTCCATTAACTTTGCTCATTTAATCACTAAATTAAGAGATAATTTTAATTTTTCTGGAACTGCCTGTAAACTGATTTATTCATTTATCAGAGATAGATCACAGTTTGTAGCTATCAATGGTAACCAATCTGACCCAGTGAGTTTAAATAGTGGTGTACCGCAAGGTTCTATACTGGGACCACTATTATTCCTTCTTTATGTTAATGACTTGCGTGATACCATGCAGT